TTGTTGCTCATTTCGGCTTCGGACGATATAGAGGAGGAGTTGGGGGTGGAGGTGGAATGCGAGACTCGGCACTGTGATTTGGTGGAGACTTTTGGAGATACTGCTGTTTCCATGCAGCCACTTCTCAAAGCGACTTGGCTCTAACTTTGAGACCTTTGTAAGTAAGGCTATTTTCCATGTTCTATGTTGGAGCATTGCACGGTGTCCTCACGTGTTCTTTTGTGATTGTCTCTGTGTTTTGAAGTTGTACGGACACATGTACTGCATGCTTCAAATAGATAAGGATAAGATAAGGATAAAAAGGAAAAAACGTGTCTTGTGTCTTAAATTATCAGCTCGATACTCCGTCCATCAGAATTTTAGATCATTTTGTTATCATACAACAATATAACATCCAGACGTTTTGGATGAGAATGGTTAGTAATTGATAACAAAGAAAAAAATGATTGAATTTTATATAATAATTTTAATATTTGGTTTTAGGTCCTTAAATTATTAATATTTAGAATTTTACATAAAACCACCTGATTTTAAATTATTAATGTTTGTATTCTAGAGTGATTTTAAAATTATAATTATAAGACATTATATATAATAATAAATTAAGATAAATAAATTACTTTATAACAAATAGAGAATACCATTACACTAAATTTAGTATTTTATAAATATCTTATTATTATTACGTTTTTCTTTTTTTCTTTCTCTCTACCCAATCTTTATGGCCATTTTTAATTTTTCTGAAAATTCTTAAAAAGCGACCACCATATATATCTTGAGTTATCTTGAGCTAATCAGCTCGTTCGGGTAGGCCCGTATTGGTTAGTTCGAATTTGTTGGTTTGAGTTCATCAGCCTAGGGTGGTAGGCCCAAAAAGGTCAACTCATGGTGGTTGGCTCGAGTTCATCAACCTAGGATGGTTGGCCCAAAAAGGTCAACTCATGTCGGTAGACGTGAGTTAGTCTAGATTGGTTGAACTTGGGATATAGTCGTCTTGAATTGGTCGACCCGAATTGGTCAGCCTAGGACTTGTCGACCTAGAGTGATCGGGCCTGGATTGTAAGACCTAAGACGATGGTCGTTGGGCCCATGCTAGTCGATGCAAGGTAGTTGAGGTTTGGATGGTTTGGCCTAGGATGATTGAGTTTGGGATGATCATCCTAGGCTTGTAAGCTTGAGTTGGTCGACTCATGGTGGTCGACCCGGGTTGATCAACCCCTAGTATCGACTCTAGTTGGTTGACCTAGAATAATTAACATATGTCGTTGATTGGCTAGGGGTGATCGGTCCAAGATGGTGACCCAGTCTTGTTGCCCTAGGATGGTTGTCTTAAGTCCAACCATGTTGGTTGACCCAAGATGATCATCCTTGGGTCATCATGTTCATGCTTGTCGACTCGAGATAGTCGAATTGGGTTGCTCGGGCCCG